CTGAATCTGTCCCTATGTATACAGCATCCTGTCACAGTGGGGGCACTCGCGTGATGCGACAAGGCCTTCCACCACCCCAACACCTCATCTCGTTACCACCATCACCGCCGCCACTCTTCCCATTAAAACACCGCTAATTGCCGTGCGTTTTCTGAGCTAATTGACGTAAATCCAGCACTCCCCCCCCCCTCGCCTTCCATCTATCAGCAGGGCAATTATTGCGGGGGAAAAGCTCGAACACAAATAACCTTTTACAGTTGAGAAGGGCGCCACACTTTCGCCTACGCTGGTAATTGTAGCGGGCCTCGTAAAGCAAAATTGTTGCAACAGTCCCAACGCCGCGACCCTCCCAGCGACGGCAAATGAAGAGGCGGCAATTATTATTTTTTTTGAGTCCGCACGTACAGGGTTGGTGGGTGGGGGGGGGTGTAAAATATAAAAATCTATAACTAAACGCATTTGAACAAAAACAACAAGAACCAACACAGTGCGTTTAGTTGAGCGAGTTGTCATTGCCCACGTTTAGGGTCGGGGTTTTTTTTCCTCTCTCTCTCGCTCTCAATTTTATTTCACTTGTGCCACGATTCTCGCAGACTTCCCACGCTTGCTCGCCCTGTGTTGCCAACTGCGTACCTGGCGTCTGTTCCACGTACCCGTGTTCAAATTCCAACGATTACATTTCCGAGCCGCTTAAGCGTCCGGCTCTCTGATGATGCAAACATTTATACAGATTCCCAGTCAGTGCTAGTGCGGGGCCTGTAGCATGATGTTAAAAAGGGGTCCTATAACAAAACACACATAAATATTAAAACACTAATTTGTAACTTGCAGAGTAAAGTAATTGTATTTTGCATTTGCTATACAGCCAGATAATACGACAAATCGCTAACCTTAAACACCCAGTCGTTCATAAAAGTTGAAGCCAGTATAGTACTATAGTGATAGAGCAAGTGTAGAATCACTGAACCGGAATTTATAGCTTGAAATAATTTAGTGTGGGGCCCTTGAAAGTGCAGGGCCCGAAGCATATGGAGCTACTTTCGCTACGAGGATAATCCGACACTGCTCCCAGTACCCATTTCCCTTCGACTCAGTCTCGTCTCTCTTCTCTGAATGGGTCCAACCGCGGTTAGCCCATTTGCAGGACGTTCGAAATTGGAGCACACCGTGGCTGATCCCACCTCTGCCAAGACGTCTGCCCAGTGTAGTTTTAGCAGGCCAAAGTACCGTTTACATGGGCTCTGTAGAGGCCTCTTCCGCCAGCAGTGGCGTGAGCGAGAAATTGCAGGCCTGCCGATTCATTCGTTTCAATGCACCTGGGAGAACGTGCGAGAGCAGTGCGTGTTTTAGTTGTATTGCTTGTTACGCCACCGCTGGATGTGAGGGCCTCACCACCACACCGTTCGGCTTCGCGGGGGGTTATTTTGACCATACTTCACCACGCCGGTCGGTGCGGGTTCGTGACGCCGGGGAGCTCAGACGTTGGAGACAAAACAAATGTTGCCATTGATGCATGTACTATGTTGGACTTCTTTCGCACCGTACGTCGCCAACCGTCCGAATCGGCAGGTGCGATAGCGCGAAGGTTGAACTGTGTCGGTTTAACACGTAGTAGTAGTAGTAAGCTTTCGCTACCAATATCACCTATAAAATTGTTTTTTTTGTTAGATCGCGTAAATATCAATGTGTCGTTAAACCCTCCACCACCCGACAAAGCCAACTAGTAAGGGTTTGTCACGTAAACAGAACGTGGCCAATTCGTTACTAGTACAGCAACACCGGTGTGTTGGAGAGCAAATCCACAACATTTACAAGCTGAGTATGACGTTTCGTCAGTAATTACAACCAGCTTCATCAGCCGGACAGCAGCCAGATTTGTGGAGAAATCCTCCCGTTTCGTTCCTTGAATAGAGGGGTGGATGTGATGACGTCACTTGTGAGCTCTTCACGTGCGAGGGGCAGGGGGGGGGGATTAATGAATACAAATAAATTACAATGGGCATCCATTGCCAGATGAGTTATTCATCTAGCAATCAACGAACATGATGTATGCACATTGCCATTGTACCTCCTGTCGTCTGCGTGCACTAAAATAGCAGCAACTGTTGTTGCGTCGCCCTGCCCGGCCGTTTGTGAGCCGCTTGCGAGCCGCAGCTGAGTCTGAGCTCGCTTGCCGGCGCGCGGAGCGAAACGTCGGACACGGTGGCCGGACGACGTGCGGCGGCGGCGCGAGGCGTCAAACGGGGAAGTGCAGCGGCAGCGGTGGCCACTCAGTGGAAGAATCGCAGCGCGACCTCATGATGATGCAATCAGAGTTGTAACTTTATTACAATCAAGGCGAGAGCAAGTAAGCATCGAGCACACAATTAGGAAGGGGCATCATAGAGTGGAGGCAGGAAGCAGAACAAATTCAACTCACAGATGTTCGTCAATCTTACGAAACGTGATAAGGCCGCTGTCTTTCGCGTGTTGTTGTTGTTATTGTTGTTACAGTTGCGGTGTAATTGTCCAAGCGTTTGAATTAAACGATCCGGTTGAAACAAAGGCCTCGTAGCGAAACGTCGCTTATGTCCTTCAGAATGCGCTGCAACAATTGCGAACTGACAATGGGTGTTGTTGGAAATTAAAGTGGCACATTCAGGAGAGTGTGCGCGACCGTTTTCACGTCACAAACATTTCTGACGGGGGGCCCCCTTGCGCATGGTACATCAGGGATGAACTTCAGCCGAAGCTGTCCAGTGCTGAGCTCCAGAAACATACTTCTGCACTGCCGTCTGTTGGGAATGAGGGGCTTGGGGGTGGGTGAGTGGTTGGGGGGGGGGAGTGAAGATTCTGGGGGTGGAGTGGTGGATGGAGAGCCCTGCCAAATATTCTTGGTTCTTACGGTAAAGTCACGTAGAAGGGAAACAATAAAATAATAAAAATATAAAACAATAAAATTCTCACGACGTTTTGACTGCAACACAAGCAATCATAATCAGGTGTGAAACCCACAGCAAGAAAATTTGAAAAAAGTGGCGGATTGTTTAAACGTTAGCACCACAGAGAGCGATTTGGCAGTTATTCAGATGGACAGAGTCCATCTATGTTTGGAAAAGAGGAGAGGGGAGACGAAAATAATGGATGCGATCTGAAAGCCACCGTAAGCGTGAACAATCAATTAAGACCCGAAATGGTTGATCAAATCCTTCCAATGATTGCTAAGCCAGAATCCATCTTCTCGGTTGAAATTGTCTCTGTGTTTGTATATGTGGATAGCCTCATAAACGAATCTCTCATGGTAGCCAGATGGCTTGCAAAGAACCTCTGTCTATGTGACTTTACCAAAAGAACCAAGAATATGAATCCCTGCAGTCACGAAAACTTTAAATCAAAATTCAGTTATATATAGTTATGATTGAATGTCATCGGCAATTAATCACCATTGCGAGTGTTTGAGTGAACTTTTTTGACCCGATCATATTTAACTCTAACCTTTGCCGTTTAGGAAACGTCGTACACTCTCAGATTTGACGCTAAATAATGGGCGTTATTTCATCTCAAATGTCCCATCAGCAACAACGAAAGAGAGGGAGATGGATTAGCGCAGCGTTCTTCACTAATTTCCAGAGGGGGGGGCGACTTTCGCTGATAAGACATCACCGGGTGTGAGGGCCGCCACACCTCTTAAACCATTGGGCTTTGACCGCACGAATGTTTTCACCATTTGTGTATTGTCGAGGGCCACAGGACCCGCCAGTGGCCCGCGGGCCTTGCAATGAAGTAAGCGTTTCAGGGAGCCCCTGAAGACGGGAAACAGGTGTCGCGATGGATCATGACTCTCAGCGAGGGGCCACGCAGACCTCCATCTCCTCTCCACTGATCTTAACAACCGTACCCAACGCGGCGGCGATCCGTCAGCCGCAGGGATCGGCGGTCAAACGCGTGGATTGAATTGTGAGAAATTACAAACAACGTTTTGTTTTAATGTTACCAGGTAAGGTCGACTGTAGCTATAGAGCTCGTTTTCCGAAGCGAACTGGCCACAAATGATAGCCCGATGAAGTGCTCTATGATGCGGAAATTTTAAGCGGCCAAATACTCAAAATGCGTGACGTTGATTCTAAATGTGGAGGGGGGGAGGTGGGAAAACCGGAGGACCCAGAGAAAAATCTACGCAACCACGGGGAGAACATGCAAATTCCAAAAATACAGCAGCAGGCGTCAGGGCTGGTGTCAAACCCACGACCTCCTGTATGCCGGGCGAGGCAGTTAACATCTCGCCACCGCGGCACGCGAGTTTTACTGGGTCGTGCAGCTGGGACGAATCAAATTAAAGTGAGGAAGCTGAATGTACGCAGCTGTTGTTTGAGTTGCAGTGACTGAGAGGGATGAGAGCGTGCATCTCGTTTACACACGGGAAGCCGTTTCTCCTCTTATGGAGCGGGTGAAATATCAGTTCGCTGAAACACTCAACCGTACCAACAATCCACGTGATTGTTGGTGCGGTTGTTGGTGGTGACATTTTTTGCGTTTGCTTCATTAAAAAAAAAACTGAATCCCTGCCCACTTAAAGTTCGTGGGTCAGAGCAGAAATTGGTACCGCCTAAGATTGCAACACTGTCGTTTCGTAAGAACTGCTTTTTTTTCGTTAAGTGTGTTGTCCTACCCCCGGCACACCTCCGATTAGCGCGGTTGGCTACGTACGGTGCGAAAGAAGTTACACATACGCACACACGTAGTAGTTTCAGTTGAATTATAGGTAGAATGATTTGATAGCCCAATGATCATTTCAAGTGCTTACACTTATCACGCGCGTCACTGTTATTGGCCACGTATCGAAGATGGAACCAGGCAAGTAACGCCAGCCCAGGTGGTCATTGATGGTGAGATGTCCGCTCGAGGCTCGTGTGGACTGTCACGTATCACTTTTCAACATACGCCGTGTACTTTATTCCTAACCAAACAAATGTTAAAGGCGAAATAATGTATCGTGGAAGTCAGATGTTCCAAACATTACGTTGTGTGATCGTTAATTTGTACAGCCATTCACACCCCCAATATACAGACACTTAGACTTAATACAGGCGCCCATGTTGAGTTTTTGTTTAAAATATGTAAATATATTTCCAAATACGGTACTTTATTTCAAGAAGCCAATTCCATTCATTAATTTTGCGGGGAAGCATGCATAGTAGCAGCGATTGCATTTGCGTGCAATAATTTTTTTCTTTTTTTAATGGGATTTGGGCCATATCCTTAGACACAATTTGCCAACTCTTAATCGTCGACTCTACGAGCAACCTGGACGAAGTAGAAGCGTCGTTCGTTCGTTCAAGAGTGTCATTCATTCGCCGATTCCATTCCCTGTTGCCAGGAAGCCCCACTGTGCAACGGCTGCGTGATAATTCATTTAAAATAGAAGCATTTGTCTCTCTGAGATTGTCCGGCCGAGTCGTCGTTCAGTGCGTGATCCTGAGGGTAACGAAACAACAACAACAACAAAAACAGAGATCTCAACCAAACATCGAGGGCACACATTTTTGATCTGCCAATCACACGCAGCAATTAAAAACAATATCCGAGTCGAATCTGCCCGTGCGCAGCCGATTCTACGTGGGATTGGAACAGTATGGCAGCACTGTGAGAGATGGTGACAGCTTAGGGGGAGGCATTCATCCAGCAGTGGATTGATCACGGCTGATGATGATGATGGAGAGGAATTTGCAGCCATGTTGTCAATCCACTGCTCGATAGCGGCCATTCCTCGTCGCACGGGCCGTGAGGGCCTGTTGACCATACTTCACCGCGCTGGTGCGTGCGCTTCGTGAAGGCGGAGGGGTGTAGACGTGGCAGCTTAGAAGTACAGCACAACAATTGATTTTACGATGCTGCCCACCAAGTAGCTCTGCAGCCCCATGGCAAACGATGTCGAGTACCGTGATGACCCAGGCTCAACGCTGCTTCGCTTCTGAGGTCTGGCGATAATTGGATGCATTCTGGGTAATTTAGTCATTGGTAAATACAACGTCTTAGCGCTAAGAGCGAGTTCAAATCCTTGTTTGGGGGGGTCGACTCAGCCCATCATCCCTCGAGGGTTGATAAAAAAAATAGGTACCACTTTGAAGGGAAGTCAACAGTGGTTGTCCTATGGGTAGACTTACCCACCGCCTGCCATAGGAATGTGAAATTTCCACCACTGGCTCAGGGCTGTAAATAGGAGACGCGCACCACCACCGATGTACATTTGAGCAGTGAAATCACTTTGACTCTCTATAATAATTGCGTAACAGAGGCATCTGGGATCAAGGTTTTTTTTTAGGGAAAGCATTGATTTGGTCAGCTGTTGCTTTTCATTGCTGTAGCTGTGGGTTGCGTGACATTGCCCAATGTCTGTGATAGCATTGTCCAGATTATTAGGCACTCCTGAGAGTCAGACGCACCCTAGACTTGCGCCCAGTGTCAGTAACGTTACGTGCACGCACACACGCGCATGCACGCGTGTACACAGCTACCGGATTATAAGACGCAACCACAACTTTTGCTTTACATTAAAGGGGGGGGGGGGCATAGTGCGACTTATCCTCCAGAGAATACGGCATCATTACAACTGCGGGTGTCAACAGTTGTTGAGTCGAACAGTTTACCTTTTGGCTGGGAGTTAAATTATAGGCGTCGGTTAAGATTCGTGTTGAGGATAGAATAACATTTTAAATTTCAAGGGTGGAGGGCCAGCCCGGAGTATAATGGATTGCTCAGGGACCTAATGCAATGTCTCACCCTTAAGAGTTGTTAGCGGGTCGTTACACATTGCCTGCAATACAAAATGAGCCAACGTAATTTAGGGGTTTATCAGGAATGTCTCACCTTTAAGGGTTGTTAGCGGGTCGTTACACATTGCCTGCAATACAAAATGAGCCAACGTAATTTAGGGGTTTATCAGGAAGAGAGCGATATAGCGTGAGAGTGCATTTCCAAAAGTGTATGCGGACGGTTTGCGTGTGCGCGCATGTACGTGTATGTATGTATTATTATTATTACTACGCGGTATATCAGAGAACAGTGGCATGGTCGTTAGCGTGCCGGCAATGCGCCACGAGAGCCTGGGTTCGAATGCTGGGCCATGCACATCAGCAATGCAACAGCGGAGAGGTCTGAATGTGAGCTGACCTTCTTCCGAGTTGCCTAACCGTTGAGTTGCCTGGCACGAGGCGCTAACTTTGTCAACCGGGGGATAAGCTGCGGCGAGGCATAGTGCCGGTGCCCATAATAGGCAGCCTACGCAAACGCATATTGAGAAGAACAAGTTCAGTACATTTTGACATGAAACTTTCGTGACCGGTAGGAATGACAATAATGCAGATATCGATCGCAACACAAGCGGTCTCACCACCGGCCCGCACAGCGACCCGGCCCTTTTAAGGACAGCGGGTCGAGGGGGTCCAGGCTCCTAAGCTGGATGGTCTTCTGGCTTCTGTCTGCGACTGACCCAGATCGGCTGGGGAGGTGCCCGTTTATGCCCCTTGCCCATCGAGGTCGCTTGTGTTGCGATCGAAACGTCGTGATTTTTTTATTCGCTTCATTTTTATTATTTTATTGTTATTATTTATTCTATCTACGTGACTTTACCGAAAGAACCATAGAAAATAAACAAGTAACTATACTATACATGCACATTCCTCAATGCACTCTCGTCTTGTTAAATCCAGGAGGTCGTGGGGTTGATGCCAACCTTGCCGCTTGTATATTTGGAGTTTGCATGTTCTCCACGTGGTCGCGTGGATTGTTCTCCGGGTTCTCTGGTTTTCCCCTCCACGTTTAGAATCAACGTCACGCGTTTTAGAGTTATTTGGCTGCTATACATTTCCACGTGATAAGCCACTTCTTTGAGTTATCGTTTGTGATAGGCAGGTCGCTTCTGAAAAAGAGCTGTATAGCTCAGTGGGCCTTACCTGTTAAACTAAACATAATAGCTTAGTCTTAGTTTAGTATAAACACTCATCGTTTATCGTCTTGAAATCATCATCATCATCATTATAATTACTTTACAAGCAATTCAAAACCCAACGCAGGACCCTGCTGAGGTAAAGAGTCCTGGCGATCTTTCCTGGAGAAATAAAGAATTACATTTCTAAAAGTGGGTCAGAGTACAGGGCAGTGGGGCGTTCCGAGCTATGTGACCGCCGGTTACCCCCCCCCCCTTCACCCTCACCCCCTCGTGTGCTCTGCGTCACTGACTCCCATGGTAGTCGTGCACCCTATCGTGAGATGACAGCGTTGCTTCGTCGTAATCGAGTGGTTTTATTTTGTTGGATTAAATCGCGTAAATATGAATGCGTCGTTCAAACCCGCCACCAGCCGACACAGCCCGTTAGTAAGGTGTTAACACGTCAACAAAACACGTTGCCAAATGCGTTGCAGGTTCGGCACACCGCTGTGTCAGGATCGCAAAGCCACTACAACAATCACAATCGGCTCACAGCCGGCTTCATAAAGCCCTCAATGCCTGCCTCTCCCTCTGTCGCGCCCACATAATTATCGCCGCCTCAAGCGCTCGAGTGGATAAACCCCACGCCCGTCCGCCCGCACCCTTTGTGTGAATGAAGCAAACGTGGCGGGTTTAATTAACATTTTCTGCATTTTTTACAACAGCCATTTGAAAAATAAATATTTTGTTGTTTTTTTCAGTGTCATTGTCGATCGTAAACCCTTAGAGAGACAAGCCAAAAATGCACAGATCAAGTGTGCAAAATCTACCGTGTGTCAAGTCGTGATTTCCAGTTGTGCGCCGTTTTCAACTCCTCAAGCAACTCCCCACAGTTGGAGCGAAACGCCGGACATCGTGCGACGAGACGCCGGCGAACGGCACGGCACGGCACTGCGAGAGAGAGAGAGACGCTGCTGGAGACTCACCTCCGTGGGGAAGCTGCTGCACGTTCATCGCGTCCATCCCGACGGGCGTCAGCTCGACACTCTCCACAGAGAGTCCTAAACGGGAGGGGAACGTGCAAGTTCACGCCGGGACACGTTGGCAAAGAAATCGTCCACGAGACACCTCGCCGCTGATCTCGTCAATGAGCTGTTAATCATCATCACGCGAACTCCGGTTATCCTCCCAGCGGCTGTTGGCTCAGCCGTCGGAGCAAAGTCGGCGGTCACCACATCGTTGCGCGGCGCTTTCAGATGCGCTTCTGCGGCCGTCTGGAACGCTCCTTCCTTCCGATAATAGGAATCCACTGGAGCTGTGCGCTTTTAAATCGAGATTAAAATATAATTTCTTTCGAACTGCTTTTTGGGTGTTTAGTTTGTTGTCCTTCCACCACACCTCTGATTGGCACGGTTGGCTAGGTACGGTGCGAAAGAAGTTCAACACACATACGTACATACAAACTATCCCCTACCACCACAACCACCTCCCAAAGGCAAAATGAAAGTCGTGATTGCCCTGCTCAGGCCACTGCTGGCGGTAGGGGCCCTCCCCCGGAGGGAGCTACACAGACGCCCTTGGCCTACTCTTCCACGCAGGCCAGACGTCTCGGAAGAGGCGACAGAGTGCTTGCCGATCGATCGATTTAACCGTGGCGTTGCACACCCATTCGTAGTGAGGGGTGGACACGGAGGCCTACGCAGGGACTTCGGAAAACTTGCACCGTGTTTGGCAGATGACAACAAAAAACGTGGTGGGGGGGGGGGGATTTGTTTTTCGCGTTTAAAATATTTACGGGACCTTTTTTTGCCAGAATCAAAATATGCAAAAATATATAAATCGTTGTTACCCTTTCTGGCAATGAAACGGCTGTTAAAGGTATCTATTTGGCGTTTGAGCATCTTAACACCCGTTTTCATTGTCGGAAAGGGCATACACCTATTGTTATTTTTTCATACGTTTAAAATATTATTTGACTTTGGGGCCGTCCATAAATGATGTCACGCGATTTTGGATGATTTTTGATCCCCCCCCCTCGTCGCACGGCGTCACAAAAAGTCAGACCCCCCCCCCCCCCCTCAAATATGACGTCACTTTAAACTATTGTCATTGTAGTGCGTATTTAATGTGACGCTGCACTCTGACGTTGTAGGAGAAAACATTTATTAAAAAGTCTATTTATTTAAATAAGTAGAACGTGTTGCCTATATTTATTCAAAGCTGCGCATTTCGATGTGACGTCACATTTCTCAAACTCCCCCCCCCCCTCGTCACACATCGTCACAAATGTCTGACCCCCCCCCCCTCTCCTAGGTGCGTGACGTCATTTATGAACGGCCTCTTTACCGGTGTCCACACTGTCCACGCCGGTCTCTTCCGACTCCACGTGCACCGCTCTCCGCTCTCTGGCCCCGCCTTTGACAACGACGGGAGGATGAGAACACCACGAGGCATTTGTTTACGGATCTGCTTATTCATCGATTGAAATAACCTCTTAGATTCACTGTGAACTGGAATGTATAGACAATAATAATAATAATAAAAATGTACAGCACTTTGTCATTCAGAATCAGAATCTTGATTTCGACCGCAGGTGGGGGAATCCGATGAGCTATGAAGCTCTTTTTGTCTCCAGTAGCGGCACGGGGTCAGCGAGTTACAACAGCGAGAAATACCAAAAAAACAGCGACAGGATTGCAACATCGCACAAAATGGTTTGCGAGTCACCAAGTATCAAAACAGTTATATCAATTACGTGAGTTGGATTCATCAAGCTTGGGCAAGGCAGCAAAGTCAACAACAAAACAGTCCCAGACCACACCCAAGATAACACGCACACCGTAGATGTCTCTCAATGCGATGACCACATTAAGATTGAAACTACCGATACGACACGGGCAAGGATCAAGTCACACTTCACTTTTGTAAATGTGACAATCGCTACTTGATGAAGGCTTCCTGATGTCATGTTGGAGAAGGGTGGGGGGGGGGAGTCATGGATATTTATTGTACCACACTTCACCATATTCTTGGTTCTTTCGGTAAAGTCACGTAGAAGGGAAACAATAACATAATAAAAATATAAAACAAAAAATTTCTCACGACGTTTCGACTGCAACACATTTCTTACCGAAAGAACCAAGAATATTAATGCCTGCAGTCACGAAAGCTTTAAATCAAAATTTACTTCAACATGTTGTTAATTAAGGCCTGGTATGCAAGAGGTCGCGGGATCGATCCCGACCCTGACACCCGTTTATTTGTGGTTTGCGTGTCTCTCTCCCGCGTGATCGCGCGGATTTTTTTTCCGGTTCCTCCAGTTGTTACCCTTCACATTTAGAATCAAATTTTGATTTAAAGCTTTCGTGACTGCAGGGATTCATATTCTTGGTTCTTTCGGTAAAGTCACGTAGAAGGGAAACAATAAAATAATAAAAAAATAAAACAATAAAATTCTCACGACGTTTCGACTGCAACACAAGCAGTCATCATCAGGTGTGAAAACCACAGCAAGAAATTTTGAAAAAAAAAAGTGGCGGTTTTTTCAAAATTTCTTGCTGTGGTTTTCACACCTGATGATGACTGCTTGTGTTGCAGTCGAAACGTCGTGATAATTTTATTGTTTTATATTTTTATTATTTAATTGTTTCCCTTCTACGTGACTTTACCGAAAGAACCAAGAATATTTAGAATCAACGCGCGCTTAGAGTATTTGGCTGTTATAAATATCCACGTGATAATAATCCACTGCGTTGAGCCATCATTTGCGATAGCCAGATAGTTTCTGAAAGAGAGCTCGAAAGCTCAGTCGGCCTTACCTGATAAAATCTATTTTTTTATGTTGACGAAGGGGTGGGGCAAAATCGGTTCAGATATCACTCGCCACTGTTGTTAGCCGTGACCAGGAATTCGACTCATGTCGCTGAGTTCGTAACACAATATCATCACCACACTATAGTCCCTCTCATCCACGGCCCTGTGCAACCGGGGTTGCCACCTGTCCCGTTTTTTTTTCCCCGGGACCGTTTTCGCTTTCGAGGAGGAGGAGGAGGGGGGGGCAGCTGCTGTCTTTGGGGAAATCTGCTCAAGTCGCCCCTGGGAGACAGCGATCGTCCACGGTCTTTGCCCGCTTTTTGTAAATAAAGCTACATCCGAGACGATGTGTGCACGTGAAGCTCTCCCCTCTTCTGCTACTTTCAGATCTTCTTCTGCTTCTTCTTCCCAATATAGCTACCAGCTTTGTTTTTTTTGTCGTTCCTTAGAAGTAGTGACCCTTGGAGTTGCCCGGCGTGTGTGACCCATCGACCGTTAACGAATGAAAAAAAAATGTTGTACAATCTAGTTTCGAACTTAATCCATTCAGGCCGTTGCCCCCGGAGTTAGCTGATAATCGAAAAGGAAACAACTTGATAAATGCCACCTCAATAATCAAGTATTGTTCAGTGGTTACATAACGGGGGGGGGGCCTTGTCGTCACCTGTCAGGTGACAGCGACACGCGACGGCGTGTGGGAGTTTACGACTATGGAAATCCCATAACTCTCAGTGCCAATAGGGCAAATCGTGATGTCAACAAAAGTTCTGAAAGCAAAAAAAACGACAAAATACGATGCCCCCCCTCCACCCCCATCGCAAAATGACCCTTGCCCCAATTGTCAACAGAACAATGCACGATAGCTGTTTCGTTCCTGTAATGCCGGTCGACGATGGGCGCTGGGCAGGAAATGTTAACTCCCTCGCCTGGTATGCAGGAGGTCGTGGGTTCGATCCCGACGCTGACGCCTGCTGCTGTATATTTGGAGTTTGCGTATCTCTCTCTCTCTCCCCGTGGTCGCGTGGATTTCTCTCCGGGTCCTCCGGATTTTCCCTCCGCATTTTAGAATCCACGCGTTCAGAGTGTTTGGCTGCTGCTATAACTTCCCACGCGATGGTGATGAGCCACTTCGTGGAGCTATCATTCGTGGCCAAGCTGCTCCTGAAAAATAACTGTCGAGCTCAGTGAGCCTTACCTAGTAAAAAAAATGGTTTAGTTTAATGTATAGTTTAGTTTTAAAGGCCCCAAAGAAACTGGTGTACATGAGGTCGTGGGTTCGATCCCGACCCTGGCGCTTGCTGTATATTTGGAGTTTGCGTGTCTCGCTCTCTCTCTCTCCCTGTGGTCCGGGTGGAATTTCTCCGAGTCCTCCGCATTTTCCCCTTCACGACAAATGTCCACGTGATGATACGCCCCTTCGTTGAGCAATCATTTGTCATAGCCGGGCCGCTTCTGAAAAAGAGCTACGCCGCTTAGTGGGGTCTTGCCTGGTTTTAGTTTTAAATGAAGGTGGGAATTTCCCAGCGTAGCCTTCGCAATCTGCCCCCCCCACCCCCACCTCCGACACCCGACCCCACGGTGACTCAAACCCTGAACCCCGGCTGCGAGTTAAGGGGCGCCACTTTAGACAAATAGCCCAGAGCGTGAGCACCACAGTGAAAGCGAGCTTGCAGCGTTACCCAGGGCTTAATGTCTCACTCGATATTCTCCGGGAACTCCTCTAGACTGGCTTCGCAGGAGGGGATTACCGGCATAAGGCACTGCCACTAGAGTGCAGTGGCATGCTTAATTGCAATAGTCCTATATATTATCCTACCCTACATTAATGCGATTCTACGAGCAGACGCCGACGGACGCACGCACATTGCACGCACGCCACCCCACGCACAACCATCGCCACACGCACACACCACTACCACACGCACACACCACGGACACATGCGCACAACCGCACGCACACCACCACCGCCACACGCACACAACTGCACACACACCACCGCTACACGCACACACCACAACCGCATGCACCCCACCGCACGCGGGTCACCTTGGTATCACGAGGACTCAATCGGGCGAGGTGGACGCGGCGCGCATGCCAAAAGTAATTCCCGGAACAGCGTTCCGGACTGTTCTGGGTTTGAAATTCAGCGCCGGTTATACTGACCCGAATTGCCTGAGCTGCTGCTGCTGCTGGAATCACTGGAATCGCTAGAATCGCTTGAATCACTGGAATGGCTCGAATGGCTGGAATCGTGTTCATCCTCATGATTTCCGGGGAGACCATGGGAGCCCAGGCAACCTTCATCTGCACAAAACAACGAGTGGGTTCGTTTGTTTTTTTCCATTGGAAAGACCAGCAGAGAAACCGTATACGCGCCTGTTAACAAAACCTTATTTACCCTTTCTGGAAATAAAACAGTTGTTAAGAAGATATTCAACCCCCAAATAGAAAACTTTTGCAAGGAATCAGGTCCACATTGATCACACGCAGTACATGTGGTGAGCATGCACGCAAACATGCACTGGTAATATAGGCAACGTCTTTGAAAATGATTGGGCCTGTCCAAGAGACATACTTCTTTATGGCCTAGTCTCACCAGTGTCAGACCAGATAATGCCATACCTTGATTTCTATTTGGTGTTTGAACATCTTAACACCTCCTGTTTTATTGCCAGAAAGGATAAAAACCTATTTTTATTTTTTTTTTACTTTGATATTTCCAAAAAAATGTCCCATGATAGAGAACCGTCTCTGTTTATTTTCCATACGCATTTGTTTATCGTAATGACAAAAGCAACAACAACAATGCCATTTATTTACCTGCCTCTTCCAAGATGTCTGGCCTGCGTGGAAGAGTAGGCCAAAACGTACATTCGAGAGGGGTTTTTTTTCCGGAGAGCTCTCTACAGTGCCAGAGGCCCTTCTACCATTCTCTGCGATCCACCAAACTTTGCCCAAATCACCGGATTGCAGACGTGCGCCACCTCACCTGACATGATTCATCGTCAACACATTTATTTTTAAACGAACACAGACCAGACAGAGCGCTCAGTTTGACATTTCGGGGTCGTTCCGTTGAACACTGGCGAGGCGAAATCGCGCCCCCAGTGCCCACCGGTAGCGCGCTATGGAGGCTCGCGCGGCTCAAACCCCGGTGGCTGACCCGGTTAATACCGCGGGTTGCGTTGGCCCACAACACCGCACTGTTTGCTTCACAGTGGACGTTTGAAGATCTTCCTTGCCCCCCACCACCACCCCATCCGCCCCGATGTCATTCGAAACGAGCAATTCCATTGCGCGGCCGTCTCCACGCTCGAAACGTGGCAAATTAAAAAAAAAATTTGGACCCATAAATGTACTCGTTTGGGATTACACATATGGCAATCATTGCCACCCCCCCCCGCCCCCCCCCCCCGCCACCCGCCCGTCTTCCCTACTGGCAGGCTCATGCCCGATCGCAGGCCAGGTTGCTGTGCCACTTTCCCCACTCAGGGGCTGCCCCCCCCTAAATTGGGCCGAGAGGACATCTAAGTGACTCGTCGCGAGCGGTCTCAAGCGCTCCGGAGACGCGCCGCCGTACAGGGCACTCCGAGTATAATAATAAAAAATCTATAATAATAATAAAATAAAATCGTGACCGTTACTGGCCGAAGACGAGTGCGTGGGGCCGCACACCGAGACCGTCGGATGGCAAACTACGATCGCGGACCTTCGCTCTGTCAGATGCCGCCCAAACCGAGGCCTCTAACCCTCGTGCAGGCGGACGAGGAGTGATCTGGGGAGGTGATGCCGGTAAGTGGCGGTTCATGGGAATAATCATAGCCCCAGGGTACGAGGGGAGTGTTCGAGGGTTAGAGAATACCACTCCAAGTGTATCGTTGACCACCTTCTGTGATTGCGTCCATTTAACAACAACAGAAAATCAACTCGTTCGTCACCAACACTGCGGCCTTAAAGCGAAATAAATAAATAGCAAAGTGCACGTGTGCTGCTCGTATGATATATAATAGGTGGTGTATCAAGGCCCTGACTCATAAATAGTATGTGCTATGAAGAAGGACCATTGCCTGAAGCGTCGCCTATTGTACATTTTCCCTTTCAAGGCCACAATTTTATTGACGAATGTGTTGAGTTGTACTTCTCTATTTCCTTTCTCTGGACGCTTTTGTGCTGTTAATGTGTGTGGGTGGGTGGGGGGCGGGAATGCTGAGGTGCTGACAACTCGAGGCATATTTTCCGGATGACTAAGTTGAAACCAGCGTTGCCATGATATAAAATTTTTCACGATACGATATCAAATTTCACGCAATGAGAGCCATCCCGGTATCAGTTTTCCATCACGTTTATAGCCGCGTTTTCGTCGCGTCCACGGTGTGCCCTGCTGCGCTTCCAGTAAATGTGTCCAGAATAATTCCATCCCACCGCAGTTCACTAAACTGAAGAGCCCCCGCGGCCAATAATTTTTCTTGCGATCATCACGATCCGAGACGCTTACAACCGCACTCGCTGCCCGTTGCGTGTAAAATCAAAAAATCATGAACCCACTTAAATGAGCCACGGAATTGATTACTCCAGCACAGCCGCCGGCAGTGTTGTTGCTATTGTTGTTTGGAGGAGCGATCCACCACGCGTTTAACAATTGGTCCGCGCGGAGGTTTTCGCCGGCAGTGACGACCGGCATCGTCAGGCAGTTGCCAGATTTCGCGGATCGACCGATGGCGCCGCTGATGCAGCCATGGATTGGCCACGTGTGGTCACCACGTGACGACCACTTCATTGACGCGGCAGCGGCATTTCGCTCAGCGGCGGCGAAACGTCACGAGAGCATCATACTGCTGTGGATGTTCTCGAACGCACACCGGCGTTACTGTACTAGTCACGAATTGGCCACGTTCTGGTTATGTGACACACCCTTACTGATTGGCTGTGTCGGGTGGTGGCGGGTTTAACGACACATTAACATTTACGCGATCTAACACCCCCCAAATTAAAAAAACCTATATTATGGATGATATTTGTCGCGAAAGCCTCCTACGTGTTAAACTAATTCAAGAGCGAGGATTCGTCCACACCTGAGGGTGAGTTTGCTTCACGCGCGTACGCAGGAGCGTGGGTGTGCAACGCACGCGCAAATAGTGACCCGTGCGAACGCACCGCTCGGGATGATTCAGAAAAGAGAACGTTGCAGCCAACGTTAATTTTTTTGTGCTGCTGTCGTTGTTGTTGTTGACAAGGGCGATGCTGTTATCTCTCATCATGCACAACCTCGCCGCTTAAGGCCGCGTGACAATGAGCACGACCAACATCCCCTTTGCCAAATTAAGGGGCTTCTTCACGAATAATTACGAGGTGCAGGCTGCCCGTGTCCCTTTAAACCTCCGCAACCCTCTGCGCTTCTTTCGTTCACGCGTTTTTCACTCTCGCACTTGAAAGCAAAATCGCCGAGAGCCCGACCCACGCGCGGGGAAGGCTTTTGGCGGTGAATGTAAAGCGGGCGGAGGCGTCCCTTTGGCCCACTCAAGTGGGTCGAGCGCTGAGCGGGAGAGATTTTTTATTTTATTCTCCGCGTTGGCCGGCCGTCGTCTAGAGAGACGTTCGTACTCCGGTCTTTTGCGGTTGGCACTGCCGCACTATTGCACAAGGAGAGGGAATGCTGCAAACGCAGTACACCACACATGTAGACCATGACACGTGCCCCAAAACTACATTGTTTAAAACAATGTGTGAAAATTATAATAAGTGGTCCTGAGTAAGAATGTTTTTTTAAGGGTATTGGGTATCCACAAATGGAAATGAACCTCGGTAGACGTTACCTGGGTTAATGAAATGAACAGTTGTTGATGATAACTATGATATACCGTGGTGTTCATAGCATATATGTCATTTGACGTTACAAAAAAAAATCCTCCCTTATCAACGCCGGTCCTTGTTAAGGGAGATGGGTAACATCACATCACATCGGAGACATTGTAAAGCGGTCGCTCAAGCGAAGTTGTGCTCCGGGTTTGTGAGCCTCCTAGCAGCCCGGGCCTCCAAAACGCGAGCGGCATCGCAAAAATACCGGGAGAGGAGTAGCCGTTGCTCGCGTGTCCTGTCAACCACTAACCACCACGCCGCGACACGTGGTGGCGTGGCTGCCTAAAGGCGACTCGGCCGGCCAGTCGGCAGGCAGGCGACATCAAAGCTGGAGCAGGGATCGGCAAGCACGTTAACAAAAAGGGGCATTTTAAGCTCTTTAGAAATCGCCAAGAAAAAAAGACCCTCAATATTTCAAGAGCAGTTCCTTAAAGAGCCGCAGGTAGCTCCGGAGTCGCAGGTTGCCGACCCCTGCCCATGGTGAACTGAACTTCCATGGTAACATGGACTTCCATGGTGAACTGAACTTCCATGGTAAACTGAACTTCCATGCTAAAATGAACTTCCATGGTAAACTGAACATCCATGCTAAAATGAACTTCCATGGTAAACTGAACTTCCATGGTAAACTGAACTTCCATGCTAAAATGAACTTCCATGGTGAACTGAACTTCCATGGTAAACTGAACTTCCATGGTAAACTGAACTTCCATGGTAACATGGACTTCCATAGTAAACTAAACTTCCATGCTAAAATGAACTTCCATGGTAACATGGACTTCCATGGTGAACTGAACTTCCATGGTAAACTGAACTTCCATGCTAAAATGAACTTCCATGGTAAACTGAACATCCATGCTAAAATGAACTTCCATGGTAAACTGAACTTCCATGGTAAACTGAACTTCCATGCTAAAATGAACTTCCATGGTGAACTGAACTTCCATGGTAAACTGAACTTCCATGGTAAACTGAACTTCCATGGTAACATGGACTTCCATAGTAAACTAAACTTCCATGCTAAAACGAACTTCCATGGTAACATGGACTTCCATGGTAAACTGAACTTCCATGCTAAAATGAACTGGCATGGGAACATGGACTTCCATGGTGAACTGAATTTCCATGGTAACATGAACTTCCATGCTGAAATTAACTGGCATGGTAACATGAACTTCCATGGTGAACTGAACTTCCATGGTAAACTGAACTTCCATGCTAAAATGAAGTGGCATGGTAAAATGGACTTCCATGGTAAACTGAACTTCCATGCTAAAATGAACTGGCATTATAACATGGACTTCCATGGTAACATGAACTTCCATGGTAAACTAAACTTCCATGCTAAAATGAACTTCCATGGTAACATGGACTTCCATGGTGAACTGAACTTCCATGGTAAACTGAACTTCCATGGTAACATGGACTTCCATGGTGAACTGAACTTCCATGGTAAACTGAACTTCCAAGCTAAAATGAACTTCCATGGTAACATGGACTTCCATGGTGAACTGAACTTTCATGGTAAACTGAACTTCCATGCTAAAATGAACTTCCATGGTAAACTGAACTTCCATGGTAAACTGAACTTCCATGCTAAAATGAACTTCCATGGTGAACTGAACTTCCATGGTAAACTGAACTTCCATGGTAAACTGAACTTTCATGGTAACATGGACTTCCATAGTAAACTAAACTTCCATGCTAAAATGAACTTCCATGGTAACATGGACTTCCATGGTAAACTGAACTTCCATGCTAAAATGAACTGGCATGGGAACATGGACTTCCATGGTGAACTGAATTTCCATGGTAACATGAACTTCCATGCTGAAATTAACTGGCATGGTAACATGAACTTCCATGGTAAACTGAACTTCCATGCTAAAATGAACTTCCATGGTAAACTGAACTTCCATGGTAAACTGAACTTCCATGCTAAAATGAACTTCCATGGTGAACTGAACTTCCATGGTAAACTGAACTTCCATGGTAACATGAACTTCCATGGCAAACTAAACTTCCATGCTAAAATGAACTTCCATGGTAACATGGACTTCCATGGTGAACTGAACTTCCATGGTAAACTGAACTTCCATGGTAACATGGACTTCCATGGTGAACTGAACTTCCATGGTAAACTGAACTTCCAAGCTAAAATGAACTTCCATGGTAACATGGACTTCCATGGTGAACTGAACTTTCATGGTAAACTGAACTTCCATGCTAAAATGAACTTCCATGGTAAACTGAACTTCCATGCTAAAATGAACTTCCATGGTAAACTGAACTTCCATGGTAAACTGAACTTCCATGCTAAAATGAACTTCCATGGTGAACTGAACTTCCATGGTAAACTGAACTTCCATGGTAAACTGAACTTTCATGGTAACATGGACTTCCATAGTAAACTAAACTTCCATGCTAAAATGAACTTCCATGGTAACATGGACTTCCATGGTAAACTGAACTTCCATGCTAAAATGAACTGGCATGGGAACATGGACTTCCATGGTGAACTGAATTTCCATGGTAACATGAACTTCCATGCTGAAATTAACTGGCATGGTAACATGAACTTCCATGGTGAACTGAACTTCCATGGTAAACTGAACTTCCATGCTAAAATGAAGTGGCATGGTAAAATGGACTTCCATGGTAAACTGAACTTCCATGCTAAAATGAACTGGCATTGTAACATGGACTTCCATGGTAACATGAACTTCCATGGTAAACTAAACTTCCATGCTAAAATGAACTTCCATGGTAACATGGACTTCCATGGTGAACTGAACTTCCATGGTAAACTGAACTTCCATGGTAACATGGACTTCCATGGTGAACTGAACTTCCATGGTAAACTGAACTTCCATGCTAAAATGAACTTCCATGGCAACATGGACTTCCATAGTAAACTAAACTTCCATGCTAAAATGAACTTCCATGGTAACATGGACTTCCATGGTAAACTGAACTTCCATGCTAAAATGAACTGGCATGGGAACATGGACTTCCATGGTGAACTGAATTTCCATGGTAACATGAACTTCCATGCTGAAATTAACTGGCATGGTAACATGAACTTCCATGGTGAACTGAACTTCCATGGTAAACTGAACTTCCATGCTAAAATGAAGTGGCATGGTAAAATGGACTTCCATGGTAAACTGAACTTCCATGCTAAAATGAACTGGCATTGTAACATGGACTTCCATGGTAACATGAACTTCCATGGTAAACTAAACTTCCATGCTAAAATGAACTTCCATGGTAACATGGACTTCCATGGTGAACTGAACTTCCATGGTAAACTGAACTTCCATGGTAACATGGACTTCCATGGTGAACTGAACTTCCATGGTAAACTGAACTTCCATGCTAAAATGAACTTCCATGGCAACATGGACTTCCATGGTGAACTGAACTTTCATGGTAAACTGAACTTCCATGCTAAAATGAACTGGCATGGTAACATGGACTTCCATGGTGAACTGAACTTCCATGGCAAACTGAACTTCCATGCTAAAATGAACTGGCATGGTAAGATGAACTTCAATGGTCAAGGGTCGGCAACCGAATTTTTTTTTTCCGAATTCGGTAACCCCCTCCTCCCCAACCACCCCCCCCCCCCCCCCCCCCCCTCAATATTCCAAGAGCCGCAATGCCACGTGGAGTACGAGACGGCGGTGCTCCTCAATAAATAACGTCACGAAGCAGTCCTTGAAAGACAAAGACCCGCACGTGGCACCACAGCTGCAGGGTTCGCCGGCTCCCCATACCGGATGGATGGCTCCACTTTTCGTTCCTTGGGGGGCGGTGGGGGCATGCCCAAGCAAGCAATCTACACCACTGCCATGACATGAGATATGGTCAAGCAAAACAAAAAATCTCCCCGATGCTTTGCTGGTTTAACACGGTCTGTGTAGTCCGGCGTTATAATGGTGGCCGTACAAAGTGAGTGAGAGGGAATGCGTTGTTTTTTTTTTATCAGCGACTGGAGGGGTTTTGATGGTTCAAATGAGAATAATAACAATGCCATTTCCATATCGCTTTTCATCAAGGATCTCAAAGCGCTGCACAGGACACAGCAGCAGCAGCAGATGTTGGGCATGCAAAAATAATTACGTGTTATATATACATTTTAATAATCCATTTACTAAACAAACTAAAATTGAATAAGCTGGAAGCATAAAACTAGGGGTTTAAAAATGCCCAGAGGCTTAGAGATTCGTTTTACCGACGCATTTCTCGTCCTGCGGGGTGGTCTCTCCAGGATTTAGAGACCTCAGATGCTTGCACGAGGCCAGCTGAACCAGGATGAGGCCCACGCACAACGCCACCAGCACCACCCTGCGGTAGACACGTACACGCAATGTCAGGCCGCGTTACACGATGCGGCAACATTAGCTTATTCATAATAATAGAGAGGGGTTTTTTTGTTGGGTTAGATCGCGTAAATGTATAAATGTGTCGGTAAACCCTCCACCACCCGACACAGCCAACTAGTAAGGGTTATCACGTAAACAGAACGTGGCCAATTCGTCACTAGTACAGCACTAACCGGTGTGTTGCAGAGCCAAGCCACAACATTTACAATCTGAGTACGACGTTTCGCCAGTAATTACAACTCGCTCCATCAGGCGGCAGCCACATTATTGTTATTATTTTTTTTTATCAATCACAATCAGAATATTTATTCGTACTGGAGGAATCCGATGAGCTATGAAGCTCTTCTTCACAGATGTCCATTTTTTTCACAATCCACTGCTGGATGAAGGATTCCCCCCCACCCCCCCCCCCCCATGCCACGTGGAACACGGCCTGGGGGAATCATTCCGCACTCCACCACCCCGGTCGGTGTGGGTGTCGTGAGAAGGAGGTTGCCCCAGAGAATGGTTCAGATATCACTCGACGCTGATGTTGGTCACGGCTGGGAATTCATTTACAACTCAAGGGGCATCATGAGGGGGTGATGATCGCCGCGTTTCGTCCCAATCGAGTCATTCGCAAGCAATTTTGGAACTTGGTGAATTTCGACCCCGACGCGATGGCCTACTCTTGGCGCACAACATCCACTGCAAATTGTAAATTATTGCGTGTTTAGTTTGTTGTCCTTCAAACCCGACCCCCGATTAGCACGGTTGGCAATGTACGGTGCGAAAGAAGTTCAACGTACATTAACGCGCTGATTTGTGGCCAGGTCGCTTCTGAAAAAAAGAGCTCTACGGCTCAGTGGGTCTTAACTGGTAAAATGAATAAAAACAAGTTTACTTTTAGTTTAGTAATATTAACCAGGGCGGCCGCTGGATTTCGAACCGTCTGCAACGGGCGGCGCGCGCGCTACGGGCTGCCTCGCCTCGCCAAAATCTGCGAGCTGACCAAAGCGCCACCCCCCCACCACCACCACCAGCAGTGCCGGATTATCCTAGTAGCAAAAGCAGCTACATATTATGCAGTAGCTACGGGCCCCACACTTTCAAGGGCCCCGCGCTAAATGCTTTCAAGCTATCAATTCCGGTTCAGTGATTCTGCACTTGCTCTATTACTATAGTACTATACCGCCTTAAATTTGTATAAACGACTGAGTGTTTAAGGTGAGCGATTTGTCGTGTTATCTGGCTGTATGGCAAATGAACAAAAATACAATTACTTTACTGTGCAAGTAAAAAAGATGTGTGTTTTAATATTTGTGTCTTTTTTATTATTTAAGGCCCCTTTATAACAACATATGCTACAGGCCCCGCACTTAGCTTCATCCGGCACTGCCCACCAGCGCGTACTATTTCTAATAATAATGAATAACAAACAAACAAACAAAAAAACAGGTTCGCATCCTCCGGGAGATGCGCGCGAGTGCGGTAAAAGTTCAGAGTCAGCAGAGTTCAGTTGCGGGCACGCCGCCTCTCATGTTCGCAAGTCGAAAGTTTCGAGCGTGGACAAAACAATTCCCGCGCGCGCCATCCCCGTTGCGCCGGTGGTCTGCGGTCTTCGACGCAACAGCCGCGAATTCACCGGAGTCTGGCGGGTGTCGCGAATCGGTGTACATTGGGTGACTCGCGAATACGCGAAACTCGCGTGGTATACGTACAACGGTTACTTTCCGACAAGCCTTGAGCAAGCTGTTGGGTGCCCCCTTCTGACAGAGGGCAGTCATAGGCCTCCCCACCCCACCCCAACCAACAATGGCTATTTGATCCTTGTGGCGGTACCAAATGTATTGTTGCAAATCGTTCGATGATGCTGGTTGATGCAATTGCCAGCGAAACGTCGTACTACTCAAATTGTAAATGTTGTGGATTTACTCTCCAACACACCGGTGGGCTGAAGTCGTCAACTAATTGGCGCGTTGTTTACGTGACTACTAATTGGCTGTCGTCGGGTGGTGGATGGTTACGATACATTTCTACATACGCGATCTAACCCAAAAAGCCTTTATTATGAATTGGGCGCTAAGTTGGGATCGTAGTCGCATTGTGAGTCCCTGAGAGTTGGTGAGCGGTTTTGGGGGGGGGAAGTGGACAGATAATTGCGGATGATGACGACGATGATGAAGCAGAATCAGCTCGCGAGCACAGTAGGAACCTGAAGAGCTGTAACAATGAATCATTCGTCAGACTGGTCCGTGTTAAAGGTTGGCTTGCGGCAGTACTGATGAGCGTACAGGGAAAGCTCGGGTTTGTAAATGCATTGCTAAGTTTAACACCCATACAGACAATTGGGTTAGTTCACTTGTCGTTGGGAAATCACCGAAGCTGCCGTAACATTTTTTTTTAAATGTGGGAAAACGGCCACGTGATCAAATGCCAATCGTGGCAGCGTGGACATTTATCTGCCAAAATATTGGTGAGCACCACCCCTCGTTAGAACATTAGGCCCAAGTTTCTCTCACGCAGGAGATCTGTAGAAACAATGTGTGATTCCTTACCCGGGCACCGTTGGTTCACGAGCGTACAAACATTCACATCAGAAGACGTGTTAAAAAATATATATATATAAACTGGTATAAGAACGAGCAACAATATTCAAACGTTTGGAATTACACATTCCGCAGGTAGTTGTCCACTTCATCTTGCCTGTGCGCCGACCACTTGATTAGGCGGTCACCTTCACAAAATGTAGTTCAATAGGCAGAGACTTACATAACACGTACGTACATCTCAACGTTTAAATGTACATCGGTCCAGCAACACGCTACCGCTTACCTGATTGCCATGTCCGAAGATCGGCGGGAGGGTTTTGATATCGAGACTTCTTTTTTTTAAGTTCTACAACGGGCTGGCTCTGTTTCAGCAGTGTTCAGGTTTCTCTGACACTAACTCAACTCCAGCCAACTAACACACGCGCGTGTGCGTTTTGCAACGGCTTTATAAAGGCACCGGTCATCTTGGTAAACATTTGCACGGAACCTTCTGGAAGCAGAGAAGGGCGGAGGAAAGAAAAAAAATATTACGTCTAAGAAAAATGTGAAGTCATCAAAACACTCATCACATTTTTTTTAAAGCTCACAAGCCACTTTCATTAACCTTGGGAAGATCACTCAATATTGTGATTCAGGCAAGCACACACACACACGTTTTCATATACGTCGCATTCACTATTACTTAGTGATTGCCCTGAATATGGATATATTATTATGCGCATTTTTTTAAGGATTTGGTTATTTTGAGATTGCCCTTCACAGGAATATATTAAATTTCGATTTAAAGCTTTCGTGACTGCAGGGATTCATATTCTTGGTTCTTTCGGTAAAGTCACGTAGAAGGGAAACAATAAAAGACTACAAATATAAAACAATAAAATTCTCACGACGTTTCGACTGCAACACAAGCAATCATCATCAGGTGTGAAAACCACAGCAAGAAAATTTGATGAAGAGTGTAGTAGTGCATAGTGTAGTGTATAGTGTAGTAGTGTATAGTAGTGTATAGTGTAGTAGTGCGTAGTGTAGTGTATAGTGTAGTGTATAGTTGTGTAGTGTATAATGTAGTGTAGTAGTGCGTAGTGTAGTGTATAGTAGTGTATAGTGTAGTGTAGTAGTGCGCAGTGTAGTGTATAGTGTAGTGTATAGTTGTGTAGTGTATAGTGTAGTACTACGTAGTGTGTAGTGTAGTAGTGTATAGTGGAGTGTAGTAGTGCGTAGTGTAGTGGATAGTTGTGTAGTGGATAGTGTAGTAGTGTAGTGTATAGTGCTCGAGTCTGTCGCCAGGGCAAGGGAGGTCTGGACCGCCCTACTCCACATGCTGCTTCTGCGACCCTCAACAAGACAGGCGGATTTAAAAAAAAGACCAAACGAACACCCTTACACGTAGGAGGCTTTCACGACCAATATTATTCGTAATAACGGGTTTTGGAGTTAGATCGCGTAAGTATGAATGTGGTGTAACCCTCCACCACCCGACACAGCCAGTAAAGGGCCGTCCATAAATGACGTCACGCGATTTTGGACGATTTTTGACCCCCCCCCCCCCTCGTCACACGGCGTCATAAAAAGTCAGACTCCCCCTCAAATATGACGTCACAAAGCTCTGCCCCCCCCCCCCCCCAAACCATATTTCCATGCTTCAAATCGCTTTAAACTATTGTCATTGTAGTGCGTATTTTATTAAGTAGAACGTGTTGTTTATATTTATTTAAAGTTTGCGCATTTTGATGTGACGTCACGTTTCTCACCACCCCCCCCCCCCTCCTCGTCACACATCGTCACAAATGTCTGACCCCCCCCCTCCCTCCCTAGGTGCGTGACGTCATTTATGGACGGCCCTTAAGGTTTGTTTAAGTTAACAAACCTTACCGGCTGTGTCAGTGATGGAGAGTTACGACACTTGATACTTACCCGATCTAACCCAAAAACCGTGATTATGAAACGAACATCCACTCCCTTAATCGCGGCGCTTATAACTCCCCGAATGAACATGATGACCGATCGCGATAATTTCTACCCCGCCACCTTTTACCTCCATTAAGGACATCGCTTAGTGGCCACTACTGCCACGCTTGTAGGCACCATTATTATTATCATTAAAGCCATTTGTGACTGAAAATTTTAAATCCCACGTTTGTAAAAAAAAAAATTGTAATTTAAAAGAGGAAAACGCAATTGTTATAGTGCTGTTTAAAGATCCATTTCAAATGCCCGAGGAATGTTCCTCTCTCTCTCTCTCATGTTTTAAAAGTTGTATTGGTTTGCTAGCTAGAGTTCCATTGTACATTGTTCTGGTTTATTCGTCCTGCTATAAAATGTCCCTGCTTTTGTTCCATGCAACCCCTGTAAGCTCTCACTTCCCATGTGGCAAACAGCTTTGGCCGGGTTGCATTTGATAAGAGGGTTTTTTTTTACATTTCAATGGTCCTTACCTGAAATAAACCGACTTATCGATTTACAGTCGACTGCTTGCTTTAATACATTTCACATAGAAATTGCCAAGCAGCTTTTAAGTTTTTTTGTAATACAGACCTCTCGCGTTGGAAGGTGGGATAATACGTCAGTGTCCAGCATGCACGCAGCGTGAGATTGATGAGCAGAGGCCTAAGCCCAGTGGAAGGGAGACAGAGAAGAACATCACGATGCTATATTTAAACAAAAACATTGAGTATCACGATCCATTCCTATGGAATTAATATGACTCGGTCCTGCCACCGTGAGAGCACGATGCATACATTCACTGTGCGCGTGTGTCTCTCTTCGCTGAGAACAGAGTGATGGGTTTTTAGCAAAGTGGAAAACAAAGCCACTACTGGAGGCCATGGGGCTGCGCACTTTCCCTGCCACACACGTAAGTCGCAGAGTCCCACTAAGTTACAACCAAACTGCTTGTGCATGTACGTTCACCCTTTGTTCGTGTGACTTCACCCTCTGCTACGGAGAAAGTCTCAAGTAAACCAAGAAAGGAATGCGAGCATGCCCTCTCATTGAATGCACATCCAAAGCAGCTGTGTGTATGTGTCCCTGCTAATTGCCACTGGACTGGAGTGCACAGGTCCAAAGATGCACGATTTCATGGACGTCTGCATACAAACAAGACGCATCGCTTGGGTAACAACCAGTGCCAGATTAAGCTAGCGTGGGGCCTGTAGCATATTATATAAATGGGCCCTAAATTTTAAAAAAACTTAAATATTAAAACACAAATTTTTATTTTGCATACTAAAGTAATTGTATTTTTCCATTTGCTATACACCCAGATAATACGACAAATCGCTAACCTTAAACACCCACTCGTTCATAAGAGTTGAAGGCGGTATAGTACTATAGTAATAGAGCAAGTGCAGAATCACTGAACCGAAATTGCTAGCTTGAAAGCATTTAGCGGGACCCGTAGCTACTACAGTACATATGTAGCTACTTTTGCTACTAGGATAATCCAGCACTGGTAACAGCAGCTGATGCATGCCTTGGTGAATTATTGAAGGCAGGTTATAATCAAGATTATATGATACAGAGGTGAATGTGAACAGGATAAAGGATAAAGTGCTTTCGGAAAACAGAATGTAATCATCCTTCAGTGCACGTGACACTGCGTAACGCTCTGACACGTGGATCATAAACATTGACAGCGATCGAGTGGACTGAACAAAACCTGATTCAGCGCATGCGGAATTTCAGTGGGTCCTCTCCTTACCGTTACTCATATTTACGTCGTTTCACGATAACGTCGTTTCCGACGAACGAGGGAACGTAATGATATGTTCAATCCATTGATTCGCTACAACGTCGTGTGCGTGACGAGGCGCTATTCACTGCGCCCCCTAGCGGGCGTTCACGTCTCAGTGTTTACATCATCGCTATAAATTTTCGATTTAAAGCTTTCGTGACTGCAGGGATTCATATTCTTGGTTCTTTCGGTAAAGTCACGTAGAAGGGAAATAATAAAAGAATAATAAAATAATATTTTTACAATACAATTCTCACGACGTTTCGCTTGCAACACAAGCAATCATCACCAGGTGTGAAAACCACAGCAATAACTTTTTTTGAAAAAAAAGTGGCGATTTTCTTGCTGTGGTTTTCACACCTGTGAAAAAAAATTCAGAGTAGGTTTTACCCTTTCTGACAATAAAACAGGAGGTGTTACGATGCTCAAACACCAAATAGAATCAAGTTACCGCATTAACCACGCACGATACTTGTGGTGAACATGCAAACAAACACACTCTGAAACAATAAAATAATAAAAATATAAAACAATAAAATTCTCACGACGTTTCGACTGCAACACAGGCAATCATCATCAGGTGTGAAAACCACTCTTAAATATTGATTTAAAGCTTTCGTAACTGCAGGGATTCATATTCTTGGTTCTTTCGGTAAAGTCACGTAGAAGGGAAACAATAAAATAATAAAATTTCTTGTTGTGGTATACACACCTGATGATGATTGCTTGTGTTGCAGTCGAAACGTTGTGAGAATGTTATTGTTTTATATTTTAATTATTTTATTGTTTCCCTTCTACGTAACTTTACCGAAAGAACCAAGAATATAAAGCCACTCTTTTTATGGCCTCGTCTCACCAGTGTCAGGCCAAAGAATGCCAAAAGGCTGAACTTATATTATGTAATAATAGTGGTTTTTCCACTTTTTTCTGGCAACAAAACTGAAACCTTTTTTACAAGGATTCATGTTACTGCATTAACCACAATACCTGCAGTCAAAATGCAAACAAAAACATACTATGATAATATATGTGGCATTGTCCTTGAAACTGATTGGTCCACACCAAGGGCCGGCTTTCTTTTGAGCCTCGACCCAATTGGTGCTCGACCAGAGGACGCCAAAAGGCGTCACACAGCTCAAAGACAATGCCACTATCAAAGTGATGAGGGCTCGGGGTGAGCATCTACATCATTAGACCTCCTTTGCCAAAAAACACATATATTACATAGTGTGTTTTTGTTTGCATTCTGACTGCAGATATTGTGGTTAATGCCGACATGAATCCTTGTAAAAAGGTTTCAGTTTTGTTCCCAGAAAAAAGGGGAAAACCCCTATTATTATATTTTGGTACTGGCAAAGGAGGTCTAATTATTAATTACATCATGTATTTAAGGCCTCGACACAGAGGCATTGTTTCTCTGTGTGCCTATGTGTGTCTCTCTCTGTGTGTCTCTGTGTTATATCTCTGCTTGTGTGTCTGTCTGTGTGTCTCCGTGCCTGTGTTTTGTCTCTCTCTCAAATTTAGCAATCTTTGGAAGAATGTAATCAACCAGGTAGGGTGTTGACTGTTGTGTTAGCCGACTCTCTGTGTTGTATTGCATTGTATTTCTAAGTTTACTAGGTTCGATTTCTCTTTCATTTGTACCTGATGATGATTGCTTGTTTTACAATCTAAACGTCGTATGCTATTATTTAATGTATTTTCTTTCT